TAAATGACGTAAAACTGCACCGAGTCTATTTGTAAAGCATCACATACTATCTTTCGTACCTATTAAGGCACTGCGTTATATTCTGAGCACAAGTTATTTATGGCAGCGAAGATATCAGAGCAAATCCAGCGCGCAAAATCCGCAGGAAATATGATCATCATGTTCTCGACGCTCGACCCTGTCCACCGATACGATCAGTGAGCTAAGAGGATAGAGAACCCTTCTTTTCGGGAAATCAACGAGGCAGCTACCCGTCAGAAACAGCTCCTCAAGGAATAACACCTTGTCTTCGGCTTTGTTGCCCTTCTTCCTAACTCAGAGAACAAGCCTGTTGAGGGAGTATGAAACCTCGCTCATGATGATAGATCCATCTCTAGCAACGGAACGATTTGTCTGGTTACTTCCTGTCCGTGGTATCCACTCCTCTACCAAGGATAGTTGTCGGTTTTCTCCGGGCCGGGCAGACGGCTATTCCTTTCTTCTTGCTTGGCCTTGAGCCATTCTTCTGAGCCCACCACCGCTGTAGGCTTCGACAGTCGTTTTGAGTCGGCCCAGCTCTCATCGATCTTCAGTTTCGGGTTGTTGGCAAGCTTGTCCAACTTGTCAATATCCAGGGCACCGTTAGTAATGGCGTTCAAGGCGAGTCCATAGACACTTTCGTTCTCTCGAAGGCGGCACTTAGTTGAGCTGACGGTTTCAACGTGCTGGACCCACGAAGCGGCTGTCGTAAATTTGCTTGTGCATCCTGGACATGTGAACTCTCTGCCGGAGTGTGCTGGGGACTTCAGATGCCCTACGAGTCCCTTTGAATTTTTGAATTTCGAACCGTGAGGATGTTAGCCTCTCTGACTTGATAAACTGATAAATGGGTTGACTACTCACTTGCAATTCTTGTGGGGACATTTGAAAGTCTCCAAGATAGGGTCCTTGAACAGAGAGACGTTGAATTCTGGGTGGTTCGGATCAGTAATTCGTTCTCCCGTGGGTCTGCTCGACAGGGCAGGCCGTCGCATCTCTTCCAATAGAGAAGGAGGAGGGCGCACAACTTGGGATTTCTCCTTCTCCGGAAACAGATTCTTTTTCTGGGCCCAAGCGTTTTTTGGGCGCTGCTCAAGGTTGTCGGCGGTCTCCCCCGTCAGGAGGTCTTGTTCTTTTGGCCCTCCACGATAGAACTCCTGCTTCGCAGTCCTTGGGAATTCCTCCGGATGTTGCTCTACATCGAAAGTCTCCTTCTTTTTCCACTCCTCGCCCCAAGCATCCTTGATGTGGGATTGACCGGTGTAGACGTCGGTCGAGATATTAACGCTACGCAAACTTTCGGTGATGGTATTCATGATCTGAGGGATGCCTTCCGCTAAGTCCGAAGGAAAGATCGTAGAGCACTCGCCAGTCTCCACATGCTGGATCCATCCTCCGGCACTTGCGAAATTCTTGTTGCATCCGGGACAGTCAAGATCCTGTCTTGCTCTGTGGTCCTATGTTAGGTAATATCAAGGTAAGTCTTGTTTCCAAGAAAGTAGGCCTGTGGGGGCGAGTAACATTACCTCATGTCGATGAGACAGCAGAGCCTCGATTGTGTAAAAAGACAGGTCACAGAACGCGCAAGGTAGATGGCCTGCGTTTTGTTGATGTTGGTACAGAGCTTGTCGGTTTGGGTAGGCTACTTGGCATCTGGGGCACCGCGGCAAAGGAGGAGTGTAAGAAGCGTGCGATCGGGACGCCCCTGATCGAGAAGGTCCTGATCGGGAAGACATTGATCTAGACAGGACTAGTCCCTGGTACAGGAATGGAGGGCGTAATGTAAAGTGTGGATGGACAAGAGGGCTGGATCCTTGGTAGGAGGATTGACTGGGTAGAAGACGTACGAAAGAGTTGCGAGAAAGGTGAGAGCTAGGTGCAGATAGTTCTCATGGAATCTGTCTTCAGACTTTTCTTTGAAGAAGTCAGGGACACGAAGTCCCCTGCGAGGGTAAGTTGCTGCCAGGGAGAGAACACCCTATCAAAGTTCCAAGGTGTTCGAAGCGGAACAGCGACGCCAGTGATTAGGGATATTGAGGGTCAGGGTGACGGACGAAAATATGATGGGACAGGGACAACTACGACGCAAGATGTAACCTGCTTCTTGGATGAAGACGAGAGAAATAAGACTTCTTATGAGATATACCCAGAGAGAGGGAAGGAAGTTGGAACAACCGGACAGAATGGAAGAAATTTGGGTGGTTGCTACCTAGGTGGTCTGATACAGGCAAGTAACAAACTTGCTCAAGTGTATCTGGCCTGCCTTCTAAAGCAAGAGGTCGCTGCCCGGTATCTGAATGGAGCTATTGGATGTATTGCCTAGAGTGGTATCAAGATAGCAGGGTCCACGCAGGTCCACTGGGGGAAAAGGGAGATGTCTAAAGTAGGATCGACCCAGCCACTTCCAGATTGCAGTTACTTTTGACTTACTGCCAACTCGCACACTAGGTAGAGAGATGGAAGTGGTAGGGATCATGGATGCTAAAACAGCTCACTCCTACCCCAAGTGCTTAGCGGATGGTCTGGTGAGGAAGGTTCAATGTGGGTTGTCTGGGTTATTTCGTACTGATAGGAAGTAGCGAGATGGAAGCCAGATCAAATTTCTCAATAAGCTTGAGGCGAATGAACTGAATGCATATAGATACATGTATATGTAGGCCCAGTGCTAGGACGATACCGCGGACAGATCGGCATCCATGATGCATTATGCCTCCAATGAATGGGCAAGATGTGTGTTGAAGAGTCATGTCCGCCATAAGTTCAACGATGAGTGATGAGAAGCAAACCAGAAAACATTCTACTTGAGTGTGATATCTTCGTGTAGAAGCGCTGTATTTCTGAGTATGAAGCCTTGCAAGCACGTTTTATAAGCACTCCGGTCGTCGTTTGCCTTGTGTTGAGTAGTATTTTCATATATTTCTTGCCGTAGTAAAACACAACTGGTTCTAGAAGACGCAGCCGGATTTACAGAAACCAGCAGATACAAGTCATCATCCAGTGATTGTCCAGGATCTGTCAGAGGAGCGCCTGAGGTAGAGTTCTGGAATTGAGTCTCAACAAGATTCGAGGGGGTTACATTTGTATAGCCACGTGACTCAAAGTGAACAGATATCACGTGGCATTGTTGGGCTGCCAGCTTTGAAACTGCTTACGTAGTGGTAATCTTATCGGAAGCGTGTCATCGTTCCTTTGTACCATATCCCATATCACCATATCACATCAATTCATGAATCCTTTAATGCATCAAGACAACCTGGCCTCGTCCACCTAAAGCCCGAAGAATCTCATAGCACAAGCGAACCACCTACACTAGGTAGATATTGACCATTCAAAGCCCGTTATCACCATAACTTGTACTCAATAACCGTCACTTCCCTTCGTCCCGCGATGACCTACAGCTCTCGATAACTACCCCCACCAACCCAAGACATATCGTGAACACGCCGTCTAGCCAACATGGCCACCCCAAAGTTCAACTCCAAGTCGCCTACGATCAGGCGTATACGTACGAATTCCCTCCCTCGCTCCCTCTGCCACCCACAATCCCGTCTAACATCCAACTAACGTTTCTACACAGTCAAGGAAGCAGCCGAGCTCTCCACATCCCCTAGTCCAGACTACACGGCCTCGCCGCTCGAGTCCGACCTGTTCGAATGGCACTTCACGCTGCGCGGCCCCCCCAACTCTGTCTACGCTGAGGGCATCTACCACGGGCGCATTGTGCTGCCGCCGACTTACCCGCTGCGCCCACCGTCATTCCGCTTCACGACGCCCTCCGGCCGCTTCGAGGCCAACCGCGAGATCTGCCTCAGCATCTCGGGCCACCACGAGGAGACATGGCAGCCGGCGTGGGGGGTGCGCACCGCGCTGGTCGCGCTGCGATCCTTCATGGAGACCAACGCGCGCGGGCAGCTGGGCGGGCTCGACACCAGTGACGCCGTGCGCCGCAAGCTCGCCGCCGAGAGTAAGAGCTGGAAGTGCGCGGTGTGTGCCAAGACTAACGAGGAGATTATCGCGGAGTGCGAGGAGAGGTGCAAGGAACACGATGCCGCGAACGATGGGAAGAGGAAGGAGGTCGAGGTCCCGGCTGAGCTGAAGATGGGCTTCCGCGACGAGATGGAGAAGCCGAAGGCTGGTGATGGTGGTAGCGACGACGCAGAGAGTGCAGAGCTAGCTGAGAGTTTTGTGCAGACTGCGCCTGAGAGGGAGATTGAGCCGCCTTTAACAAGATCAGCAGCGCAGCCACCTGCTAGACCTGCGCAAGGGGTCCCGTCGCCGACAGGAAGAGTGCTGTTGTCGGATCCGGTTGGGCAGGCTACATCGACGCCATCTCAGAGACCGGTGGACCCGCATGCAGGAGTCCCAGCCTGGGTCGACTACGCCATCGTATCGCTGGTGATCATGCTGATCGCCATGCTCTTGAAGATTCTGGTTGGACGTTAAGCGTGGTTCCGACAGCAAGCAAGCATCATCGGGAATAGGCGTTAGGGACAGGCAGGGTAAAGGCGTTGCAATGTTACTACTTGACACCGGATAGCGATACCAAGAACTGAATTAGACCTCATTATTTTCCCGGGATTCTAAGAACATCTGCGACCAGTTTAAACATCTATGCTTGTCCCCAAGCTGAGTCAGAGTGGCATCTTACTCCTGAAGTGTTTCGATGCGGCAGCAGCGCTAACTAATTATTCATGTGTAGAATCCCCCAACCCATGACTAAAGACGCGAAGGGCATTGATGAGTCGGCTGGCCCGCCCTAGGGATCGATTATACTACTCATCGCTTGAACACTGTCATGTCCAACAATTGACTCTATCTCAATCCTATTCCTATTGCTCAACGAAGACGTCAACAAAGCTTGCCTACGAACAACAAACAATATCTCTATTTTATTTTTTATTTTTATTCTTTAAAAAAAGGAAAAAAGGACCTGTATGCTCCCTCCCTCCGAATTCTAGAAAGAAGGAAACGCAAAAAACGAATGGCGCCAGACGGGATCGAACCGCCGTTTGCACGGAATATGTTCCGGAGCACGCAAGCGCGCCCAAACCACAACGTACTGTCCTACCACTAGACGATAGCACCCTTTAACCAAGCCCCGGACGAAAATTTTCACTCCCAGCAAGCAATATGAGGTAGGCATCAATCAAAGTCACCTTCGTTGCCGGCCCAGGTGTTAGTTAGGTCTACGGCCCTAGTATAGAAAGTCGTTGCGATGGGGCCGACCCGCTTGGAGCGAGGCTATCGTGAGGCGGAAGCGTATGGAAGTACGTAATAGTAACAACGCGATACTGCTTTCATTAGGTATGCGACGCTTGTGAAGGGGAATGCGAATGCCCGTTGAGGTGGAATAGGGAAGGGTTCGCACAATCTGGACGAGAGATCCCTCCGTGGATCCTTGTTGGCTTGGTTTGATGGTCTAGTGGTATGATTCTCGCTTAGGGAAAACCTATGTCACAGTATGCGAGAGGTCCCGGGTTCAATCCCCGGTCAAACCCCATCTTTTTGCCCACTTGGTACTGTGTTCTAAGACTTAGGTTAGAAGACTCGATAGCGAAGTGGGAGATGAAGTAGTGATAGGAAGCTTCTTGGTACAACACTGTGGGAGATCAATTCGCTCCGGTGTATCCATGTTGAGTATCATTAGAAGAGCAGTTTGTAAAATCAAATTGTCGATTCATCCATTGTAGGTCAATATTATTTTATACGCACCTAACTTAGGCAGCTCAAATGAGCTGAGAAGTGCTTCGCAGCTACATATACGGGATATCTCTTGTCCTGTCAAACGCCTTGCCAATGCTATATGCTGCATCATAGGTACACACCACGCCATTCCATGCAATGTATTACTGTTAGTACAGATTACGCCTGCGCGCCTATTCCCTGATCCTGAGGCACAACCTTCCCTCGCTGGTCCACGACTAGTTTCCCGACCACAAGCCACCACCACTCACCCACCGTCGCGCTCTGTTGCGACTCGAGGCGCTGGAGGATTCCAAGACCATCGACCCAGTCCATGATCAACTTGGCCTCAAAAGGTTCGACAAACGGCTTCATTAGCACGCTTGCCGTCTGGGGGGTCAGAGGGCCTTTGGTCGCAAGCCCCAGCATCGTTATGCTTAGATACGTGATCCATCGTTGCTCATCGAGATTTCCGAATAGATCAACCCAGATCGGTATCTCGTCTCGAGGTCCTTGCTGGGGCGGCTCCATGCGTAGGGCTTCCTCAAGGAGTGGTAGGTCTCTGTCGAATACATACGTTTCCGTAGGCGACAACCTCAGATCGAAATGGTAATAAGATTTAGGGAACGTCCTGCCGTCGTAGTTGCCAGGCTCGAAGCCGAAAGGAATGTTTGGGATTTCGACGGCCTCCACGCGGATGCGGCCGTGAGCCTGGAGATTAATGATCGCTATGATTGTGCCGTCATTCGTAACATACGGTAGAACAAAATCCTTTCCTCTGCGGAAAGTCTGATCTAGCAGAGATTTGAAATTGGCAGCTTGTGCGAATTTCTCAACCGTGGGAGCCTTCTCGAGGTGCTTCGCAAACACGCCATGTAGTCTCAACGCTTGGCCGAGTATCTTCCCTCTGCTTCTCGCCGCTACCCTTTCTGACGTAAGCCGGTCAACAACCTTCTTGAGCAGTTTATTGGTTTCGGACTCATTCCTGCCACTTAGTTTCAGGAACTTCAGGCGGATTTCCTCGGGCATATTGGCACCCTTTATTGGGGTAACGCATAAGGAGCGGACCCACGACCTTGCGCGACTTATAAGTTCTTCTTCAGCCGTGACGCTGCGACTAAGAGGCAGTGAAATGGGCTCGCTAGACGTTGCTTCGACTCGAGAAATGGTGGATGCTATGGGTTGAGACCATGTCTCCCTCCAATCCGGAGCCTCGTTAATCTGGTCTTCAAGTGAATACGCTTTTTCTAGGGCTTGGCGAGATTCAGGGAGGTGCACATTCTCGTGAGTTTCAAGTTTAGTAGCCCAAATGATTAGAGATTTCCAATCATACGAGTCCAGGTTGTCGTAATCAATAGGCGCAATATCTCCCTTCTCATAAGCCTCTAGAAATACTGACTGAAACTTCTTCGTCAGAGCATCGATATATGTTTTGCGTTCCTTTTTAACTCTGGGCCAGAATTTCTTCAAAGCCGAATAAGAAAATTTAGGGAAAGTCTTCAGAAGTAAACCGAGGTCTACCTTCTTGTCTATACCTCCCAAGAGGATTTTGAAGACTACAAACGCAGCAATGAGTTCCGTTTCACCGCTGAGGCCAAGCTTGTCCTCGTCCGGACTCGGTTTGTTCACACGGCCTCGGTGTTGGATGAGTATCGGGTTTAATGATCGTGTCGTATATTGGATTTCCACCTTAGATCCTGGAGCTGGTTGAACCTTCTTTAGGGACTTCGTCACCTTGGGTTCGGGTTGCGCTTTGGTTTTCGGCTCCGCTCTTGGCCTGCCTCTACCACGATGCACGACGTCCGGTAGACCAGCGTTGTCATCGTCAGGTGATGCGTTCTTAATCTCATCCGGTATATTCTTCGCGGTGTATTGGTTTCTGACCGGCCATTCAAGGGCGATAGGGTACATGTTCGCTCTTGAAATGTCGGGAGCGAGAGAAATGAATCTGTAATGAGGCGCGATTGATCCGTGCAACAGAATTTGAGATCCTTCGGGTGACCGCTCCCACTTTTCGATGGAATCGACTTCTCGTAAGAACTTTCCATACTTTGGATCTGCCCAGGAGTTGAACTGGAATTTGCCTTTGCAGGCCCTAACGATCTCTTCAGCATTCTGGGGCAAATTCTCTCGTTGAAACCATTTGGCGTCTGGCATGGTCCCATCCAAAACGAAGCTGGAGTCAACTTCAAAGGAACTGGTTGATAACAGAGGCCAACTGCCTCTTCCCACGCTTTGAATTGCTTTGGTTTCTGCAAATCTTATGCCCAGTGAGTCGAATGGGCCGTTCGAGTCATCATCCACGGGTGTGCCGTGCTGCGTGTCGACTATAACCACATCATCGTCCTCATCCTCGGACACTGAATCGTCGGGCACGAACGACGTAGAAACTGACGGTTTGACGAATCGATCCACTATTGTGCTTCTGTCTGGATTTTCCGCGGTCGCCGCAATCAACTTGCTATTGAATCCTTCATTCTCGGTACTCCGAGAACTACGATCTCTTGGAAGTGGCTTGTATGTCTTCACGTGGTTCTCTTTCGAATCCCCAAGAGGTATTTCCGGCTTAGCTTTGGAGCCTGGCCGCATTGAAGCCGAAGCGTTTTCGCGAGAAGCGCCCAGCGAAGACAAGATAGTATCGATGTTTGGCTGGAGAGAGCTGACTGCTTGGGGTGAGGCTGACCATGCCCCGGTTGTAAAATCTTGAAGGCAGGCAATTTCCTGGCTCCATTTCTCGCTGAACTTTTGTTTTCGGTTCCAAATATACTTTGCGACCTTCCCAGTATCCCAATATTCGCGAGGTTCGCGTCGTTTCCGCAGTTTGGGGGGGCTTGGAGGCTTGTCAATGTTACGGGAGTCAGCGCGGACCCTCTTGGTAGGTGGCGAATCGGCCAGATCGTCGTCTTCTACAAATCGTTTCGAGCCGGTTGCATAGGTAGGGATGCCCCCCATTACATGATCCGGGTACTGTAGAACTTCGATATCTTCAGTTACATTCGACTTCCCAGCATGCCCGAGGGCTTCGCTGGGTCGCTGGGTATCTCTATATCTCGGTGGAACTGCGTTAAAGAGCTCGCCCTCTTCCTGCGGCAGCGAGAATGCATCTGGGATGTACGGCTCTGGGAACATCTCCCTCATCTTTTCCTTGACGATAACCACTCTAGGATCAGTGGCTAAACTCGCCGCACCGGCATCCCCTGTCTTGTTCCTGACAAGCACGCAACATTCCTGAAGCTTGCTGCTATCATCAAGGAAGCAGAAGTGTATCTGCTGCAAGGCTCTTGCTTTCTCCATTCGGTTCACTACGTTCTGGCAAACTTTCCAGTCTGGAGGTTCTATGTCCTGATGTGATTTAAGCCACTGTGAAACGATAGCCAAGTATAAAGACCTTTGGCCAGGGAATACACCGCCATTTTTATCAAGCAGATGCTCGATAATAAGAGCAGTACGTTCCCTACGCACTGCGCCAATAGTGGGCGCCGACCTGCGAGGTTTCTTAGGCGTTGGCACCTGAGCTAGCTGCACTGTTGCCTTGCTTGGTCCATGGTTAACTGTCTTGGAGATCTGGAGATTTCCCACGGTACTTGCGGTACGATAATCGGCGGCGGTAGATATACTGGACGTTCCTGGGGTATCTATGTTTGTAGACATTGTTGGCTCAAGCGATGAGGGCCGTAAATTGAAACTGGACATTGCTGATGCGCCATTTACGTCTCCCGTCTGCTTTGAATTGAACCGGTGAAATCCGGATTGAATACTACGTCTGTCCTCAGTTCTGGTATCTATACTCCGAGTGGGGATCGTCTGATGCATCTCCAGTATAGTGGCCATACGTCCCCCCTTTCCCATCCCTGAATCAGGAATTGCGTCTTGTTCACGGCCCCTATCTGGCGTTCCGTTTTCCATCCGTGGTAGCGCTTGACTTGCTTGACGTATCGGTGTAGTGGGCCTATAAAAGTTTGGCGGTGCTACTTGGCTATTCTCTCGTCGTCGACGGTTAATGACATCATAAGCTTCGACGTCCTGCAATATTAGAGACCTTCGGATAGAGCTAGGGCCGGACGATTCCTCTGAATCTCGGTCGCGGACGGGTGTTTCACTGGGACGAATGCGTTTCGATGGTAGGAGGGGGTGGCGGTCCACAGTATCAGACTTCTGTTGGGACGGAGTCCGATTCAAGTCTAAAAGTATTTGTGCGTCGGGGGCCTGGTCCTGGTTCTGGTTCTGAGCCTCTTGTATCTTCGACGACTCGGTCCTAGGCATAGTCTTTGGCTTAGGAGGCTGCTTAAGAACCCTAGGGGGTTTGGGAGGAGGTAGCGGAGGGGCGACATAATCTGGATTGCAAGAAGACCGGGACTTAGAGAGATGATATTCCAACCCGTTTGGGTTCTTCCAGCTGTTGCCGCACTTATCACACCGGTAAACCGATTTTCCACCGCGTCTCCCTCGTTTCTGTTTAGGCTCTGCAGTAGACACCTCTGCGGATATGGGAGTACGATCTTCTAATGTGGATGGTGATGGGCTTTGTCCTAAACTTGCAGCAGGGGGGAAAGGCTCCCTGAAGTTCGTCGGATGCCTACTCCTCATACGTTCAAGACAAGACTGGTCTTTGAGTGAATCAAACCTGAATGTGAGAACAAGTGACTTCTTCCGGCGACCCTTCTTCCCAGGTGGGTCCAGCATGTTGTTTGGCTCACGATAAATGCCAGGTGGTCTAGGAGGAGGTGGTGCGGCCGGCGGAGAAGGAACTGGCAGTTCTTGAGTATGAGGTAGTTGCGGATCCATAACAGAGTTAACCGCGGAATCGTTCTCGCAT